GTTACTCTGATACTAAAAACAGGTGTAATCTAATTACAATTCCATTTTAAAATAAATATTGACAGACATTGTTATGATTAAGTCTGATAGATTTCTCGATATATTTCACACTCTTTCTTTGCACACAATATTTGAGGGTATTTATTGTTCGTTTCCAGCTGAACTTTTCTTTATCATTTGCTCGGGAATGAATACATTTTTTCTTTATCCACTTTTCATTTATTTTTATTTTCTACAAATATATTTTTAGTATAGTTTACTTTACTTCAAAAGTCTTAATTTCGATTTTTGCATATACCAGCGAAAAATGCTTGGGCAATGCGCCGCTTCAAATTCAACTGACGTGGCAAGAAAGTGTTTCAGTAAGCGCAATAATCATAATAAAGTGAACGTGTATATTGTCCGATGCTCGTCGCAGTAAAAAAGCCGTCAACTGCACGCTTTGGTGACTTTTTCTTTTGGCAATCAAGTAGCTGGCAGTAAAAAAGAGTTTTAAGACATTTAACTATGAGCGCTTCGTGCAGCTTGCTGTCTTACTATTACGCTCTATTTCCACTCTATGGTACACTTGCTATTTGGACATCTCATTTAGTTGGCATTTTGGCTTTAGCATATATCTGTGTAAGCACCTTTACAATGGCTGCGCCTCCAAACGTGCCACATACAGCGTGCACGGCTGCGTAAGCCATCCAAATGTGTGTTCGTGTGTGTGTGTTTTTGCATTACGCTTTAGTGTCATTTTCCATTTTACATTTTCCAAGACTCAATTGCAATGCTGTGAGATGAAATTTTTATTTCAGACTTTGCTGAGCCATACAAGATTTGTACGAAATCCAGGCTAGCAATTTCAGTTGATGCCACTAAGCGTGTACTTGCAACTAACCTAAAGTGTAGAGAGTGCAGAGATGAAGTGCGTGTATGTGTGTGTGAGAGTCTGTGAGACTAAGGTTAGCATATGTTGAAGTGCTTCTGTATGTGTGAGCTTTTGTATGCATGTATAAGTGTGTGTTTGCTTGCATGTGCATCAGCCATAAAATCATCTCAGCTGTGTGTGCTTTTGTGCGGTTTTGGCTTTAAATGAATTATGCGACATTTACTCCCAAAGTGTGCCGCCACCGACGACCCTTTAACTCCGAGTGTAGGCCAAACACTCTCGACGGTCGGCGTAGAGAACGTTTCGTCATGCGAAATGTTGGCCCACTGTGATTGTGGTATTTAACCCTTGCAACGACTTTCTCCTGCCTTAAAGTGTTGGGTATTGCAGTTACTGAAGCACTACAACACTCTTAGCTTGTGTATGTATGTGTATATCGCCACTTTGGCGGCCTACCATTTAAAGCGGTTACGTATACGCCCTGCTGTATAGTACTTGAGTTGGCTGCGCTTATATTCAGCCATATGTGTGTGTATGTGTTTGTCACACCGCTTCTCAGCTTCTGTTTGCCTCACCTACTTCTTGCTGTAGCAGCCAATTTGTCTTTCCTACACATAGAACTATACATCTTAATAAGTAAGTCGTCACACACACACACCTACATACAAACCTAAGCAGCAAGTATACCGATGCTCGCATGTTGTTGCTGTTGTTTTTACTGCATGTTTGTCTTAGCTACTGCACTTCTAATCGAATTTCCATTTGCTCTGAGGCCAATTTCCAATTTCATATTAAATGCATAATAAATTATATTTCGACTCGTAAGACGTTGCTGGTGAGTCTGAGTCGCTGTGAGAGGGATAGTGCGCGCACAGTAGTGTGAGTCCCAAAAAACAAGCGACAAAGAGAAAGTCTCATGACTTAGTAAAGAAAAATTGCTTAAAATGAGTATTTATTTTTAAGCTGGTATTCTCCAATGTATCGAACAATATATGATATTGCTGAATTAAGGGGATATTTTCCCTAGACCGCAATGTGGTAAGGTGCTCAGAACGGGTATAATCGGAGCTGCTATGATTGCTTTTATACTGTACATATAAAAAAGAATCCGAGTTATCTCATTAAAATTATTAAGTTAGAATGCTTCGGTTTTAGTGCGTTGCCATTTTTTCTGGGAAATCTCGCTAAACACAATGATTTAGAGTTTCAAAAAATTAATATTTCTTATAATTTATATACTATATCTTAACGATTTTTAATTTAGAAAGCAAAGTTTATAAGTTAAATATTCTATGATATTAATTTTAATTTTCTTTATATTTTTTTAGGGTTACCGAAAAATCGTATAAATTTTGTTGAACTAAATTTAGTTAAATTCTTCAGTTTTAAAGTAAAAATTTTGAACAGATGGCAAGACTACTCTACAAGTATGGTAACCGACCGTAACCATGTAAGTTTATGTCTACAAACTTCTTCACGTTATTATTATTTTATGTAGTACCGATTCAATTAAAATTTTGTGAAAGATGGTAACACTGCTTTAAAAATCTTTTTTCAACTATATATTTTCAAAGCTTTGAAACTTAAATAGTAGTAATTAGATAATCTTATTAAAATCAAAAATTTAGATGGATATGGCCGGTTCAAGCTCGTTTAGTGCCCATGTTGTAACATTTAATATAATTTATGAATTTGAAACAGTGGCAACATTTTTCAAAAAGTAGTTTCAAATGCAAAATTTTGTTAACTATTGATACTCGTCTAGTAACAAATTGATTACATTATGGCAACCTTATCGTAAACATACTTTCAACTTGAGGCATCTTTATTTTGGTACCCAAGTCGTTAAATTTAATTAATTTACAAATTTCACTAATTAGAAACTTTTAAAGAGTAGCAACTTTGTAATCTTTCTTAAGCATTTTCCCTTTGGAGCAAAATTCGGAACTCTTATAAATTTTTATATTAATTTTTTAGGGAGATGGCAACCCTTTGTTAACAAGCATACTCAAATTTTATGTATCTCAACTCAATCAACTTTTGTGTGTCTTTATTATATACATAAGCTGTTTAGATGTTCAAATAGGTGACAACCTTATAATATTTTTGCCTTAAATCACTTAGAAATTACATCAGTTTTTCTTGTAGCAACAATATCTCCTTGCGTTACATTCTTTCGTTGCAGTTAAATGACCTAAATATTGTGCACAAAAAATGTCTCTCATCAAATCAAAACTAATTCAATTCTTCAAAATTAAAATTTTTGTTTTTAAATTGATGTCTTTCACTGCATGATTGGCTTTCTTTGGCATTATTATAAAATACATCAATACATAGGTCTAAATCAAAGTTTTTAAAAAAGGGGCGTGTCAAAGTACAGTACATAGTATATGGCTTCATGAAAGTAAAAATTCAAATTTCTGCCCAGATTTAGTATTCAATAGTAGTTTCAAAACACTGTTCAAACGGCTTAGCCGCCATCATATTTCTTTAGGAGAAAAATGTGAAAGTTCGCATATTCCATTTTAAAGAAATTGATACCCTTAGATAGCTGAAGACTCTTTTTAAATGTGGTTTCTATTTGGGTCTAACTTTTATTTGTTGAAATCATATAAAAACCACACTTTCTTCTCATATAACAGTACTTGACAAAGCTAGAAACATTTAGATATTTCTGCAAATATAAGAGAATAATAGCCACAAGGGACACTTATAACTAGGTGATATAAAAAAAGGGGCATGGCCCTGCACAGTGGTGTGGCTTCAATAAAATTTAAAAATTAAATTTTGACTCAATGTAAAGTAAAATTATAATAGTTATGTTAAAAAAAAATTATTATTTAATTATAGTAACAAACATTTTTTTATATACAATATACTTCTAATATAATATCAAGACTATTAAGAAAAAGATAAAACGTTTACATTGTTTGCACTGAAGCTATAATACCGTTCACAAATGTAAGGAATTCGTTACAAGAACTTGGATTTTGATCTATAAGTTTGTATGGCAGCTATATGCTATAGTGAAGTGATCTAAACAATTTCTTCGGAGATTGTACCATTGCCTTAGGCAATAACCTATGCGCCATTTCTTGAAGATATCTCGTCAAATGAAGAAGTTTTTCATACAAGCACTAGATTCAGATCGATAAGTTTGTATGGTAGCTATATGCTATAGTGGTCCGATATCGGCGGTTTCGATAAATGAGTAGCTTCATGGAGAGAAAAGGACGCGAGCAAAGCTTTTTAGAGCGATATCTCAGAATCTGAGGTTCTAATATGTGTTTATACAGACAGACGGACATGGCTAAGTCGACTCAGTTCATCACGTTGATCATTTAAATACTTTATAGAGTCTCTGATGTTTCCTTTTGGGGGTTACAAACATAGTGTCAAACTATATATGCGCTGTTCAGGATATGAATATAATAATTCAATAATTTTACAATAATAAGAAAATATTATATATGTAGAAAAGCTTATTTTCATTTGATAATATTTGAAATTTATTTTCACAAGTTTTTTAAAGAAAAAGTATTATATTTTCAAAACAAATTTCGAAATACAATATACAAGTATATGTTTATTCAGATATTTAGTTTATAAATTACAGCCATTTAAGCAATTACAGTTTTTTACCCACCACATACCACTGTGCAACGGCGCGATGTATATACACATACATGTCATTTTATACATATGTATATATACATATTGTCCAAGCAGCTGCTGCACATTACGAACACACTTGCAAGATATATTCGTATGTGTAAGTAGGCAAAAAGCGCTTTTGTCATTTAAGCACACACACACATACTTGATACCTTGCACTCTGCAATTATGATTTATTATTTATTTTACTGGTGTTTTTGCACTTTCTTGGATTTCTTACTTTCCACCAGCATTTTATTTATAAGTCACTGCTTACATGGACACATAGTAAATAAATACGTATATTCACACACATGTGTGTGTATGTTGGTGGCATATGCTCGTAAGTGCATAAACTGGCTTGATTCGATTTGCTTTATTTCCAAACATTTACCGTAATTCATTACTTTTTATATTTCTTGTGTGCATATTGCTAAATATAATGTTATATCATATTTTAGTAAACACTTACTTGTAGGGAGTGGCCCACATTTGGCTTCCTCCTTGAAGGTGCAGAACTTTTGAAGATCATCAAAGTATAGGCCGGACGGACAGCGATTCAAGTAAGGGTAACCATCGACGCACTGAAATGAAGTAATATTTATTGAATTACAGTTATTTTGCGGAGTTCGACTACGATTGTGAGCTATTCATACCATTAAGTGGTTGCAACAATAACAAATAGCAGTAAGCAGCAGTAAAAGTATAATAGGGATCATGGGAATTGAATTTTAAGGTTATTGCTATGCATATTTAAGTGTGATTCAATCTAGCTCTTTTTATATATAAAATTACATTTAATAAATGGAGAGATGCTGGGTTCTCACTTTAAATTTAGTCTGACATGTAATGATACGTAATTTTAACCCAGAGCGTCGAAATTTTTTTCCTTTAAAGCTAAAAACAATATTTTTAATTGTTTGTGATAATAGTAAAAGGACATTTTTTTTTATTAATCCATCTTTGTTTGCAAACTATTTAATTTAATTGTTCTAACTGATTTTCAAATTTTAACCGATCGTAATAGGTGAGTCCAGCATCATAATGAAATGCAAAAGCAATAAAATCAATTCTTTGAAATAAATTTAGTACTCTAATAAGTTTTGTAAACAGATAGAGAGTTCTAAGTCCGGGCACAATAGGGTTAAGCCTCTGCTTTAATAACTATTAAGTATAAATTTGATTGAACTACGAAAAATAAAACTTTTGAAAATATTATACAAACCCAAAAAACAAAAACAAAAAAAAAACAACAGCACTATAATTCCCTCAGTAAATTCGAATATATAAAAATAAATGTATATGTATGTGTACATGTTTGAGTGAAGAAACTTCAAAAGCAATTCAATATATAATATGTTAAAATGCTTGAAATATTCAAGAGTCTGAGCAATGTAATTAAATTAAAAATATTTGTCAATTCAATTTTTTAGTAATATTTTAATATTACTTTTAAATGAGTCTAAACAAATCTGAGTTTCAAAATAATCTCATTTCTCATCTAAACACAAAACTTTGCGAAACAAGAAAAAACCTTAAATTGGGTTGCAACGAAACTATAACATCCTTTGTATGACAACTATATGTTATAGTGATCTGATCAAACAATTTCTACAAACACTGTATCCATGCCAAAATTCAAGAAAATATATTGTGAAGTAATTGTCAAAAAGTTTTCCGATATCGGGGGTTCCAATAAGTGAGCAGCTTCTTTGTGAGAAAAGGACGTGTGCAGAATTTCAGATTGATATCTCAAAAAATGATGTACTAGTTCGGTTATATAATATGTAGACAGATAGACGGACATGGCTAAATCAACTCAGCTCATCATGCTAATCATTTATTAAATATATTATAGCGTCTGATGAGAATCTATATGTTTATTTAGGTTTTCAACAAGATTCCGCTTATAATAAATAAAAATTGTCGTTTTCATAAGTAAAGTTCTCAAAAGTTCTTACTCTTCTATGGAAATATTTTTAAGTTTTGTGTAAAGGTATTCAGGAAAATTTGAAATGGAGTACTGTTATTATACTACATATTATATGGAAGACTTTACTGGGTATTCGATTTCATAGTCAGAAATATAGCTTCACCAGTAGGAAATATAGTCAAATCTGTATCAATGCTACCAGTAGGTCGCGATAAACCACATTAGAGTACCTTATGCTGGAGGTATACTAAAACTTTGTGAAGTGAATGATTTTATGATTCCTCAACAGCACCAAGCAATAGAAACTAATTCTTGGATTAAATGAAGCTTTAGCTTGATGCTTAAGGAGAGAAAAGTCTGGCGGTAAAAAGAGAAATGGAGCAAGGAAATAATGTTTTTACATAGTCGTACCAACTTATCAATATTTCAGAAAACTAGTCGAGCTTCACTGCCAATAAGCGTTCGACATAGTGATCCAGCTATTGACTGAGAGCAGTGCTATCATAATATTTTACCAGGTATCACTAGTGTTGACTCTAAAACCACTAGCGCTTTCTTCAAACTAAGAGCTAATTCAAATAATTAAAAAAAGAGGAGGAGGAAACTACTAGATACTACTATGAGCTTTACTGTGTCAGAAAAATCTTTGTGCAAAGAGGTATCACAAATACTAGACCTATATGATTAGGCACCAGTTTCTCATATGTTAATTTTGGTTCTGATCCGTACAAAAGATAGCACTTTTAATTTTTTAAAGCTAATTGATTACATAATACACTCGTAAATAACCTTAAGATAATTAGTTTATACTTTGACTTCAGTTTTAAATAGCTTTAATCGTTTTCTTGTGTAAACTGTGAAATGTGAATATGCAAATAACGAAAATAACATTACATACTAAATTATATAATTTAATCAGAAACTCATACCTGATAGAATCGCCGGCAAGTGACTGGATCAGCATAATTTCCGTTCGCAATAGTGGAGGGGCATTGGAAATCTTCTTTTTGTGCTACAAATAAAAGTAAGAAAAAATAAAGTTATTTGTTGAAATTGATTGTGCTATATAATTGGTACCTTGTACCCACACATGCAAATCTACAAAAATGACAAAGTTTATAGTTTTACAACCATAAAAAATTAAGTTTCAGTGAAAATCGACGAACAACTTTAAATATTATTTATTTTAAAGCATATGGCTCAAGGTTTCCATACCCGCGGCTAAGAAAAGTTTCGCAAGCAATGTATGTGTTTACCTATGCGTAAGTATGTAGAGGTGTATGTGCATAATTTTTCAAAAACTATGAAAACTTTTCTAAAGTGTAATTTTCGTTTTACTCGCATTTTCGCCTTTCCTTTTGCAACTGTAACTATGAGACTGCGTAAATTTCTATGTAAACCTCTTTGAATTCACAATGCTCATCTATATAAATGTATGTACATACATACATATATAGGTGGATTTGGACTTGAGGGCACATTTTGTTAGTAAATAAGACTATCCCTGTGGTGGAAACAAATGGTTCAGATCAGATGTAGTAACTACAATTCAGTTTTCTCTAGAATGGGATTAAAGTGTAACAGTCTAGAATAGGCTTCTTCTCAAGCAAGGCTCAAATTTCTTTAAAATCCAAAAATCGTTTGTAGGAAACTTAAGATTTTTTAGATAAGATAGTTCTTTTCCTTTCCTTTCTATTAGAGCTACAAAATTAACAGATGGAAACTTTTGAAACTTCTACTATCTAAGGTTGTGGAGAAAGTATGACATACTCGTAATACTTCAAAATAGTACACAAAATTGAGTAAGAGATTAGATTAGATGATACATTTTTTATGATTTTCTGTTTTATCAAAATGTGTCCTCTGTAAAAAGTTATAGTTGAAATCAGTAGTAGAACAAATGAAATAATAATCAAATTTGACTCGGACTGGTCTATTTAAAGTGGGCGCGCAAACCGATTATGATGATGTAAAAGTTAACTTTTTGTAGCATTTTGAAGCTAGTAAAGAATGGATTCTACTTGTCCAGATAAACTCGCGAGTAAAATCGAATTATAATCGAAGAGAATGGCCCAGAAACGAGGTACATAATATAGCATTTACCCACAAATAAAAATTTCGTCTCTCAGAATAAGAGCGAGATAGAGGGATAGGGAGCTTCTTAAATATATATTTGAAATTATTTGTTTCAAAATGGAATTTTAACTTATTGGCTGATGAAAAACCAGAAGAAAGAGAAGATGAAGAAATGATTTTGATTTAAATATATCAGTGTGGTTAAGAAAAACTTTTGACCGATACTAGTACAAATGAGCCTAGATGCATCACTACTCCCAACTATATCAAGCCAACTACACACATTTGTTTTATTCCCCAAAACTAAATGCACAAACTCTTATTGACTTTTGTTGTTGTAGCAGCTAGCTAGCCGCATTGTTCCTGCGTTTGTAACACATGCTTTCTGAGCTACGCTAGCCTTGGCCCGTTATAGTTCACTTATTTGCCGAAGTTTGTGTAAGCAAATGGCTGGAAGCGCAACAAGCGTTGACCAACCCAAGCGCATTCAGCAATTTTTTCTCGCAAACATTTTCATTGTAGTTGCTACATACGAGGCGAGCACGCGAGTGGTTTTTTAACGAAATCAATTTGTGCAATTCATGTAATTTAGCCGAGGAAAAGTTTAGCTTTCCAAATAACTGTAACACTATGTGTGTGCTTTTTTTGCATACAAATTTATTTACTGTTAGCGAAATGGTCGTGTTATTAAGCGATGTAGGTCAACCGTTTGGCGGGTAGGTTTTTTTGGACGGCTGTTGGGCGCTTCACCGTTGATTAGTCGAAAAATTTTCAAACTATTTAATTTTCCGGTTTAAACTTATTTTCAATGCTGCTGCCAAATATTTAACATGCTAAATAAAGTATTAGCGCAATTGTTGTTGTAGCGTACCTGCAGCGGCGGACGCGTAAGCCTGTGTGCGAGGTCAGCTTTTGTTTGCGCGCCCCCACTTTCACTTATACAAACACAAATAATATTCAATATTTGCTGACACTAACACGACTGTGCAGCAAACACACACATACACTCAAATATTGGTATATATATATATATATGTACACACACACATACACTTGTATATGCATATACAGGCCCTCGCTAATAAATCTCGCCACTTGCATCCGGCCCAAAAGCACTCAACGCAGCTGCACACACACACACACACACAAACTCATTTATTTAATGGGCAAAGCCGTTTGGAAAATTTATTTCAATTTTTAATTCGCTTTGCGCCACATATTTTGTAATTTTAATAATGTCGAATTGTTTTCGAGTTTTCGACAGGCGGATGGTCGGTCATTTTTGCTGCCTGCTGCATTTGTTTATATAATAATTTTATGCTAATTATGCGTCGGTGTTTATTCAATTAAACATTTTAAATAATTACAGCTGTTTGGCAAGTGTTGCTTTGCTGTTGTTGTTTTGCATATACACCGTTAGCAAATACTGCGCCGCGGCATATGCTTCGCATGCTGCCGTTAAGCTAACAGCCTGAAACCTTGAATTAGCAAAGTGTATATTGATTTAGTTTAAATGCATAGCAAATGAAAATATATAAACCAATAATGCAAAATGTTTATTAAAATTAAAAGCTCAATGGTAAATGCTGGCAATTTTATTAAGTTCATGTGTGATTTTAGTGAGTTATATGCGTGTAAGGCAGTTGGCATTTGGCTAAATGCGTACGTGATTGGAAATCGAGGCTAAAACGTACATATTTATTAGGGTGTCCTTTTTTTTCCAAATAGCTTTTTTTTTGCAGACATACCCTAAAGTTTCAGTTTCTCGCCTAAAAAAAAAATCCAACGTAAACAAGTTCTTTATGGGGCAAATATTGGCGGAAGAGTATACTGCCAGGAACTCTCTCTCAACTTCTGTTTCAGATTTCCTGACTATTGTAATGGTTTTCAAGTCAAGTTCGCTCCATTTAAGGTAGTGACAGATTTCCTGCTCCGGAGTGTAGCTTCCTTCAGAGAAGTGAGATCTGATGGCAGAGCTCACTATGTGTGTGTTCAGTGCTGGTTAGGGAATGCCTAACCTCGTTACCAATGGCATCGAGTCACTTTGTGATAAGATTAGTATGGGTGCCAGGCCACAGCAGTATCACAAGTAACTTTTACGCTGATAAGCTAGCGAGAAAAGCTACACTAGCCCCGCTATCTTTAGAATCGAAATGTGTCTGTACTCTCCTCCCCTCGTGGGTTTTACAACTGGATAGCTGGGACTGGGACCTTAGCCTGCGCTTAGCTATCGCCGGTTTATGCACTGTCATAAGATCTTTTGGCCCAAGATTGATCGTAAGAGATCTAGTGAGCTCTTTGCCCTCAGTAAGGCTAACGTCTCTCTAGTTGTGAGAGTTCTAAAAGGCCATTGTCTATCGGCGTCCCTGCTGTAAGGTTGCGAAACTTACCAGATGGCAGCTGCAGAAGCTGTATGAAGAAGACGAGGTAGAAACATCTCAACACTTCCTTCTTGATTGTCCCGCGTTTGCGAGATCAAGGCATAAACACTTGGGAGCTCATACTTTCAGACATCCCACCGAACTGGTGGAAATAGAAATTAGACGTCTGTGGAAAATTTGTAATGGCCACTAGGCGCTTTACTGACTTATAAGTTGGAACATAGGAGTTCTTTTTTTGCCTTCACAAAGGACTGCATATAGTAGAGCAAGTGCGACCTCTGGATCAGCCATCTATCTAACATAATTTCTGTATATTTCTTTTCCCAAACAATATTTTTTAATATTTTGGATAAAGCAACTAAACCTACAAATTTGAAGGAATTACATCCTGATACTAAACTTTCCGCTTTACAAAAAAGGTCTTAAGTATTGGGTTTTTCCATAAAATTTTAATTTAAAAGTTATACGTATACTTTGTTATGTTAGGTTGGCTTATACGTGCTGGCTGTCATGCCATATATTGACTTACTGATCCTTAGTAATGCCAGATGGAGGTTCAGTTTAATTTGAGCTGAAGGTTGCATCATACATGACATTAACGCTTTTTCAGAACTTTAAAAGCGACTTAATATCTAATTTTGATACTTTATCTAGTCCTTTGTACTGCGAAGCTTCTAGATATCTAAGACGAGTTCTAAACAAGGCCGGATAGAAACATAGAAGACTCTCTTATGTCTACGTCCCTGTTTTCCTGTGCTCTCTGCATGTATTTACGTTAGTTATGTCCATCCGGCTCGCATTTGATGCGAGTGTAAGTTGTGACCTGACTTTAGGCCATTAATTGATCTGCATTCCTAACTAGACCATTTGAGTAGAAAGCATGTATGCATTTCTTCGCGGCTCAGGAACATGATCTTGGCGATGCTCCATGTCCATAGGGCGAGCCGCTGTATCCGCTTTAACGGTTTTCAGCATGATATTTTGCAAGCTGGGCATCCGATGAGTAACACCAATGCATCAGGCCAGGTGATAGGCTCATGTAGACCATAGCATCTTCATAGATGCATAACAGACACCGCTGGCCTTTTTTACTCTCTCTTCCATACTGAGTTTAAACTTCAGTTTATTATTCAAAATTACTTCCAGATACTTGGTATGTTCCTTAATTGTTAACTCAACCCCGTTGAGCTTCGGGGGTTTCCTTGTCGGGATTTTGTACCTCCTTGTAAAGAGTACTATAACCGTTTCATCAATATGTATGTACCTTATGGTTAGCCGATATCGCGAATTTGTGTATGACACTTAGAGCGTTCTATACTTAGTAAGTTTAACATCAAATGACCTGAGCATTTATACAAATGATTTATATATTCTGTGTTGGTCATACGACATGGTGTACCGTATGAAAACATTAAAGGGATAATTCTATGGAAAAAAATAAACATCTTTTTGGTAGAGTGCTAAATTTTTCATAAATACATCCGGTTTTCAAAGTTGCAGGTATATTTACTTTGAAGATAAACATTTAAAGCAAAATATAAAATAATCCCATATT